TTTTTTTTGCTATACAATCTCCAGTAATTATGTAACTTTCCCTTAGATTTGCTACTGTTCGGCACGACTTTATTGCGAGGCAAAATGACGAGCTGACAGTCAAGATGGGTGACTCTGTGAGAATTCTGAAAATGGTTTGTTTCCGTTTTCTTACAAGAATTTGGATCTGCAAGTGTTCACATTCAGGTGAACACAGATTGGGTATCATGCAAGGATCCAAACACCGATAAAGCTGGAATCGTCCCTGTGGCTTTTTTGGAGGTAAGCATAGCGTGGGCGTTGCGTAGTATTCTTTTACTATATGCATGTAGACGGAGTACAATGTATATTACGCACTCGCTGGTTTTGTTAATCTTGTGCGTGCGGCGCTGCTTAACTTCTTCGATAGCGATCCGCGACGAATTTCACCGTTTTTCGTTAGTCATCTTTCTTCAGATGTATCTGGATGAAGATGAAGAGGATGGTCGTGATGGATCTACACATACGCGTCCTGCTAGCGTGAATGATCACAGTGTAAGTGTTGATGTCCTACTTTCTCGTTTAACGCTTCATGATGTTATATAACTTTTTTGCATACTACATCGAAACTGCTCATTCGTTAATAATGCTGAATTTTTTTGTTTTGTGTTTACTCATATAGCTATGGAAATACTTGCTGACTACTTTTGGTAATCGCATTCTGATAGATTGGCGACGATTGTTTTGTTTTGATTTTTTATGTTTTTGGAATTTTTTAGTTCTCCACTATCGGCAGTGGTTCATTCACCCCACAGTCCTTACCCGACTGGCGCACATCAACCAGACTTGAGGAGCCGGCACCACCGTTTTGTCAGTCTTTCTCTCTCTTTTTTACAGTTCGCTCACTGGTGGTTTTTTATGATCTTCGTTTAGCAAGTGCTCAGACTCATGAATGGGCCACATTTGGAGATGACTGGAACAGCACTGCTGAGAAGAAACCGCCCCCTGCAAGACCTCCTCCACCAAAAGTAATAGTAGGCTTTGAATTTTTTGATAAGTTGAAGACCATATGATTTAGACTACCACAAGCATGTCACCATCGGAGATGGTTTCTGTTACTGAAATGTTTGGCATGGCCGAAAAGCAGGTAGGCGAGTAAATTTTATGATTCCTTTCTCTGACTGCAGTGTCTCAGAACGCGCCTGTGATCAGCGCAAATGTCGCGAACTCGAATTTGAACCAGGATGAGAAACGAGCCAAAGTCCTTGAAGAGCTTATCAATACTGAACTGCAGTTTATTACCGATATAAATGCGTACACGGAGGTAGGTCAATTTTTGGGTCTTATCCATATTTACGCGGTTCTTTATTAGGCGGTAGATGGAAGTACGAGACTTTCCACTAAACAAAAAGTCATTATGAAGAACGGATGTGCTCAAGTCGTGGAACTCGCACGTGCATTGGTACAAGGGCTTACCAATGAACAAAGCAAGTTTTGTTTTGCTATCAGTTTTCACAATATCATGTAAATCTCGATTTTTTCTTTTTTTGGATGTTTCTTTATTCGGAAGGTTTCTAATCTTCTCTACTTCGTCACTTTCATCACTTCGAAGCTTTCCTTTATATTCTCGTGCAACAAATGTGATAGGTTTCTGCTCATCCCCTTATTTGAATTGTCTGCGTTGCAGTGAAGCCAACCGAACAGCAAATGATTGGCGAATGTTTTTTGCGACTTCGGAAATCGTTTGGTAACACTTATGGTTACTATTTTCGCAATATAGACCATATCAACTCTTTACTGATGGCATCGGTGAGGCATTTCACATTGAAATTTTTTATTTTTTGTTATGTCTCGGTAAGAGATTATCGATACGTATGAATTTTGTCTTGTAGAAGACTGATCCAAAGATAGAGACAGCGCTTCGCGAATTGGTGGTGAGAATGCGCGCTAGTGGCGCTGGAGTTTTCGACGCCTCCACTGCTGTTAGCCGTCCGGTACAACGGTGTGTCAAATATCCTCTGTTTCTGAGTGAAATTGCGAAGGTGAGTTATTA